AGTGATCATCTTACTTCATGCTTCATGTCCTAAATATGTCAATTACTCATTTAGAGTTTATGGTGACCTTAATCAACCGAATGGAAAGCTAAAACCTTTACCGATACTAATTTCGGCTTTTCAAGATTCCGATTTCTTAACAAGTCAATCTTTCACATCTAGATTAACCTAACTTCTCTATCATTGATCAATGTAGAATTTATCACCCAGGTCTAAGAGTCAAAGGCTAACACCATATAAAGATCCTATGCTCTCAAAAATCAAATATACCATTTTAAAAGAAAGCATTAGGGGAATGGATGAAAATGACATTGTAAATAGCATGTATGAATCATATTGGCGAAATATGTAACGTAAAGTTTGGGGTATTACATGCTTAATCGTTCGTACCAAGCCCTAGGAGGTTATTTTAAACCGTAGAGAGCTTTCCAAAGTTTGAAAATATAGTCTGGATATTTGTGATTTTTAAAATCGGGTGGTTGTTCAACAAACACTTCTTCTTGAATAAAACCTTTAAGAAAAGTACTTTTAACATCCATTTGATAGAGAGTGATTTTTTATGACAAATAAATGCAAGAAGCATGCGAATGGATTCTAATCTAGCCACCGGTGCTAATGTTTTTTTCAAAATTGATGCCTTCTTCTTGATTGTAACCTTGGACCACTAATCTAGCCTTGTTACGTACAATTATTTCGTTCTCATCACGTTTATTTCTAATGACCTATTTAGTACCACTGCCAGTTTGATCATTTTGGTCTAGCGACTACATTAAAAACATGGTTCCGTTCAAATTGATTAAGTTCTTCTTGCATAGCTAGAATCCAAAATTCATCAAACTCGGCCTCTTTGAAGTTCTTTGGTTCAATTTTGAAATGAATGCATAACTACTTAAATGACTTTTAGTAGAGGCTCTAGTAGTAATACCTTTTGATGGATCACCAATGATTATTTCTTTAGGATGAGAAGAAACAAACCTCCATTCTTTTGGTAGAGGTAAATCATTTTGGACTTCGGTTGGCTTTTTTTCACTTTGTCGAACATTTTCTCCTTATTGATATTCATTTTGAGGATTTTTCTTGTGTTGATCTTCAATAGACATTTTTTCGAATGGAGTTTTCAATCCTACATCAATATCAATACCTTTCTCATGATCAGGAGAGTTAGTTTCATCGAAAGTGACATGCATAAATTCTTCAGTGACTAGAGTTCTTTTGTTGAAAACTCTACAAGTTTTACTAGTCACTGGATATCCTAGAAAAATTCCAACATCGGATTTTGAATCAAATTTTCTAAAGTTTTCTTTTATATTCATGATAAAGCATTTGCACCCAAAAACTTTGAAATATTCGATATTGGGAATTCTATTTTTCCAAAGTTCATATGGAGTTTTGGTTTTCTTTCGACTAATTAAAACACTATTAATAATATAGCAAGCAATGTCAATGGCTTCGGTCGAAAAATATTTTGGCATGCTATTTTCATTTAACATGGTCCTAGCCATTTCTTCTAATGTGCGATTCTTCCTTTCTACTACACCATTTTGTTGAGGAGATCTAGGAACTGAGAAATTATGTTCATATCCATTTTCATTACAAAACTTATCAAAGACGAAATTATCAAATTCTCCACCGTGAACACTTCTAATGGTTGTAATGGAGTACCCCTTTTCGTTTTGAAACTTTTTGCAAAAATGTTTAAAGTTTTTTAAGGCTTCATCTTTGAGACTTAATAAAAGAACCCAAGTAAAATCTAGAGCGATGAAGAAAGTATAGTGTTTTCCACCTAAACTAGCGGTTCTTGATGGTCCAAAAAGATCAATATGGAGTAATTGAAGTGGTTTTGTAGTGGATGAGTGCAATTTGAGTTTGAATGAACTTTTCACTTGTTTACCAAATTGACATGCATAACAAATTTTGTCTTTTTCAAAATTCAAGTTTGGTAAACCTTTAACAAAACCCTTTTTAGAGATTTTTGAAAGAAGATCCATCCCAACGTGATCTAATCTTCTATGCCATAGCCAAGTGTCCTCTTCCAAACTCACTAAACATTTTTCATCACTCTCGAAATCGATATTTATGATATAAATATCTTTGCTTCGACTTCCTATAAACAATACCTCTTTAAATGTTGCATCCTTAATGAGACATTTAGAAGACTCGAATTTAATATGATAGCCTTTATCACATAATTGACTAATACTAAGTAAATTATATTTGAGATTATTTACCAATAGTACATTCTCAATGGAGGGGGAAATATGATTATTGATGTTTCCAATTCCGATGATTTTTTCCTTTTGCATTGTCTCCAAATGAGACATGACCTCCATCATTCTTTTTTAAGTTCGATAGTAAATTTCTCTCTCGGGTCATGTGTTTTGAGTACCTGCTATCTAAGAACCATTTGCTTGTCGCCTTCTTTGGTACCTACAAAAATAGTTCAATTTTTTATTTTTGGTATCCACATAAGCTTGGGTCCTTAGTAGTTAGTTTTAGTGGATCTTCGAGTCCACTTGTTTTTACTTTCAAACTGTAGTTTCTTTTTTGTTAGACAATTTTAAGTAATATGTCCATCCTTGTTGCAAAAGCTACAAGTAGTTTTTAAGGGAATTGTATTTGAGGTTTTGACAAATAAATTTTGAGAGATTTTTGTTTCAAAAATAGTTTATATACAATACTTCCTTTATCAAAAACACACTTTTGATTAACGAGTATTAAATCAAAATTCTTCTTCCATTGAGTGAATTTAAAAATAATATTTGTCAAGTCTTCAACCTTTTTTTTCAAAGAGCAATTTTCTTTACACAATGAAACATAATCATTTTCCTTTTTAGTTTCTAAAATTTTCTCCATTTCATTTTTTTAACAACTTATGTTCCTTTTTTAAGAATAGAATGACTAAGAGCTAGTTTTTCAAATTCTTCAAAATCTCATCATAAGAAGAAGATAAATTATCATATGAGAATTTTTCTATAGAATTTACCTCATCGTCGATTGTCATGAAGTACATGTTGACGATCTATTCTTGACTTTCATTTTCATCGCGATCATCATCTTCGCTTTCATCCCATATTGCTTGACGTGCCTATTTTTTGAAATTTCTCATTTTGTTTGGACACTTGGTTCTCTTGTGACCGGCTTTGTCACAATCGCAACAAACAAGTTTCTTGCTTCTTTCTTCGCTATTTTCACCTTTCTTTTGAAACTTTCGATTATTTTGAAAGCTTTTCCATTTTTTGAGAAGAAGTACAAGATCATCAAGCTCTTCATCGCTCATATGTTCACTTGAATTTCCTTCTTCAATTGTCGATTTGAGAGAAATTTGACACATAGGAGGCTTTTTGATTCTTCCTTTCTTTTCTTTGTCTTTTCCTTGGTTTTGGCATTGTTGATCTCGTATGTCATCAATGTTCCATGGAGTTCCTCCAAGGGATAAGAGTTGATGTCTTTGGTATACTCTATCAACATCTTTAATGATCTCCAATCTTCCGAAAGTGATCTGAGCATTTTACTTACAAGCTCACCATTAGTAAATTTACGATCAAAGCCTTTGAGGCCATTAACAATATTGGTGAAGCGAGTAATCATGTCAACAATATATTCATCTTGTTTCATGAAGAAATTTTTGAATTCTTTGACTAAGAGATTAATCTTGGTTTCTTTTACTTTACTTGTGTCGAAATGAGTGACTTCTAAACCATGTCATATATCATATGCAGAGTCGCATGTACTAATGCGATTAAACTCATTTTTATTTGAGGCACAATAGAATAGGTTTTTGGTTCTAGCATTCAAATACAATTTTCTTTTATCATCTTCATCACATTCTTTTCTAGGCTTAGGAATAGATTGATCAGGTTTTCTATCAATTTTAATAATTTTAGTGGGCACATAAGTACCAAATTCAATGACTTCCCAAATATTATAATCTATTGATTGAATATAAATAATCAATCTAACTTTCCAATAATTATAATGTGTAAGAGAGGCTGTTTCGTGGAATGCCACTCGAGATTTTGAAGGTTGTTGTGGTTAGCCATTGCTCGAAATCGTAAAGTCTTAATTTAAAAACGAGCACATTGCTCTGATACCAATTGATAGCCCAAGAATAGGTAACCAAGAAGTGGGTGAATTGGTTTTTAAAACTTTTTCGAAAAATTAATCTAAAATCAAACACGTAATAACTAGATAAATTAATTGAAATAATAAGCACGAATATGAAAGTAATAAGTAGAGAATGATAGATAATACAAATGATATAATTATGGAAGATCGATCCAACATAATGATCTACGTCCTCCGTTACCAAATTCTTCAGCACGAGCAATGCCATTTCATTATGTTAATTGACTTGATGTGAAATCCAACCCTTTACAAAGCTTTTGGTGACTTACAAATAAGGAGCACTAATCCTTTTACAATGTTGAGCTTTACGGGACCTTAACACGACCCACAAGTTCAAAGAAAATGGATTATACAAATTGAAACTTCTCTCTTAATAAATGATATGATCACAATTTAGTACCAAGAGAGAAATAGGCTAACTCTTTAATACATAGCAATGAATGAAGTTCAAGTGTTAGGTATGAAAAACTTTGATATGTAGAATATTTATGAAAGTTAATTTAATCAAAAGTTTTTCAAGACTAGAATGATTTGATAATAAATGATATGAGAAATCAATGGAATTTTCATAAAAAAAAAAATCTCACTTGAACGCTCTTGAATTTATGAAATGATTTTAAAGTGATGTGGTATTTGTAGCAGTCAAACGTCAAAAAGTTCTGTCCAACCAGATAACCCCTACTGGACGTCTGCTACTGACCAGACTACTGAAAATAGCTATATACGTAAGAAATCAGAACGATAAGAATTTTGACCGTTGAAGCCACAGACGTCCGCCAAACTAGAAATTTTTGGTTTTCTCTTTTCTTGATTATTTAAACAAGTGTAAATACTTTAAGGATATATTCACCTAACTTTTCAAAATAAGTGTCATTTCTAGAGAATTTTAAAGTCAAGTGAGGATTTTTGTTACATCGAAAATATTTTTTTATGTGATCGTTTTTGTGAAAAGTTTATCTCGGGCATAAAAATTTAACTTACGAGCTTGAAGTGATTCATTGCTAAGAATTAAAGCATTTTACCTTTGCATATGGATGCAAATCATCTAAGTCTAATATCTTCGATTGATTTGGTGCGAGTGCACGATTTGTTGCTTAATTTTGAATTTGGCGCAAGTACTTGATTTGTCTCCGATTGTCTTGATGCAAGTGTTTGATTTCCAAGCTTGATTTGTGAATGTTCGATTTCCATCATGTTCGTAATATGTAACAATGAAGACTCGAATAAAAATGTTAGAGATAAGAATAATTTTTTTGTTATAATCAAAACTCAAAATCAACCATAGGTCAACACATTCTTGTAATTCTTCTATGGTGCAATCACATAAAAATGGATGCGGTTACACATCTTTATTTTGGCCAGCTTGAGGCAAACTTAGTTGGCTTGTGCGATTGTGATTCACAATACCATGCAATTGCATGGATTATTCGGCCAGATGAGGCAGCTTTCATTATTCGATTGGAACTCTTTTGAAAACCAAATTAGACACATTTTTGAGCTCTTCAAGTATAAAACAAGGGCATCCATTCACATCATAACATAGAATTTTTTCAATTATGAGAGTAAAATTCAACACAAGAAGGAGAAGAGCAAACCTAGGAAGAAATCAAAGGTAAATAACATTAAGAATGTGGAGATTCAAGGCTCAAGATTGAAGATCAAGAAATCGCTTTAACATATTTCTTTTATTCATATATATTTCGGGTGATATCTTTTCAATATTCTTCTTATAATATCATTAGAAATATGCTAGGCTAGATCTTTTTTGTGTTGGGATGAAGATGAACCATTTTGTTCATTATGTTTAGTTCAAAGACCAAGTAGTTTAGTTAATTGTGTTCTTGATTGATCTTATATGCCTCGTTGAATTATTTAAATACTTACACACTATTTAAGTAATTAGTTGCTTATTATTTTTTGGTCTTTCATATTAGATCTAGAATTTTACAATTTCAACACATGGACAATAGATGCTAGGAATAACATATATGGCGTGTGGAAAAACATATATTATCATGAGATTTACTCATTACTTTGCATATGAATTCAAAAAAGGAATATGATCGGGGTTGTGCTTAGAATATGTTTAACTTACTTTGGAAGAGATAAATAAAATTAGATTATCGATTATTAAGAATACACAAATCACACTAACAACAACAACAACAACAATAGTGTGTTTGGTAGGGATTTTTGGGGGAAGAATTGATTTTTGAATAGTGATATGATGGGAAATGTGTGGTTGAAAAAGAAGAAAAAAAGTATTGATGTGATGGAAAATATTATTTTATTGAAGAATGTGTGGTTGAAAATGAGAATTGATTTACTGTAGAAAATGAGAATCTGTACCAAACAGGCTCCTACTAATTGACCAAAATTTTGAGTACGACAAAAAAAATTGAATTG